TTTCCTGTTCCTGAATCTAAATAAAGATGGCTTTTTAGTATTAAAAGTGGAAGAAAATTACAGGTAATTATCTTTGACGGTAAAAACGCTGTAATCAGCGGGCTACATGAAAAATTACTCTAATTATGGCTGCATTTAAGAGAATGGAAAAAAAACCTTCTTGTGGATAAAAACCTTAAATTGTCCCCAATGTCTGCTTCAAATTGGATGGCACTGCAGCTGGAGGCTTTGTTCAGAATTGATCCTGGGGAGCTCTGAACCCAAAGTTTCACAGTAGGAAGGGGGGAAAAAGAAAAGAAAACATTTTTCTTAATGTAACAATACGAATGGTAGAAAATGACAAGACTGATCGGTTCTAAACCATTCTGAAGACTGACTGAGCGTGGAAGTTGCTCAACAAAAAAAGGAACGGGTATATTGGTAAGTAGTCTTTGCTTTGTGTCTAATTATAGTGACTGTCCTTTTGCACGACTGTATATAGCTGTCATTATATGGAGCACTCTGAGTATCTCTATTGACTTCTGATAAATGGCTCAGTGGTTTCAAGGTTCATAATTTGAAGGATGCCCAGGTCTCTAGCCATTAATTCTCGCAGTATGGGGCTTATGTGACGAAAGGACTTTCATTTTCATTATTTCTGTGCTTTATACAATATAATAAAGATATAATTCGCCCTGGTCAGTGCATTGTATACCTATGCACCTTTCAAGCTTTGCAAAATATTGCACAGCTTTAATTGTCTGTCTGTTAATCAAAAACAAAGGAGGGCACCTCTTTCTTTCCCCCTCCCCCTCCGCCCAACTTGTGTAGGAAGTAATGCAACGCACTGAATTTTACTTTGAGATAAACCTCAGATTAAATGACACCATAATGTTTTTTCAAATATTGGAATTACCGAAGTAACATAGGCTAAGAAATAACCGGGCGATTAGAAACATCCACGATTCTCTTTGCAATAGTTACATATATATTGTCTCGGGTTTATTCTTTTTAAGAAAAATCTTTTCAACGGTTTGTTGTTGGATATATTGCTCTCTCTGTCACAAAATGTGTTAATATCTGGCTAGCTATCTAAAGCGGGTGTGGTTTATAATATATAGAGAAATACAGGACACAGGGACGTTTTGTGGCTTTTACTCTATATATGAAAGAAGACAAAAACATACAAAGTATATTTACAACTAAAATTCAGCAATATATACAGAAAGGTTGCTCAATATAAACGTCTCTATAGCTTAGTGAATTGGTGAGAATACCACCAATCAAGTACTGAACCTTTCAAAGCCATAGGATGGTTGTTTTGGTGGGTTCCTCCTTTGTCCTTTTCCTGTTAGATTTCAGGGGACTTTGGGAGGGGGGTGTTGGGGGCAGAGATCTGAGGGACAGACAGTGGTTTCTTCTTGGTTGCTTGCTGTCCATTCCATTTTGATAAAGCATGCAGTTTTTGCTTCGTGGTAATGTTTTAATCGTACAGTATATTTTCCTTTTCAAGCACTTTCGCGCCCCCTCCCCTCCAGTCTGGGTTTGGTGAATACAAATGCAGGAGCTTGAATAGCCTCCCTTTCATCAAGTAATATCTTTAGCTCATTAAACAAGTAAAAACGTTGCCGGATATACTCAGGTTCTTCTCGTGGGAAAAAGTCTGTAAAAAGTTTGCTTTGACAGTATACTCCAAAGCGACGAGGCTGGTTCCTTCGAGTCCAAATTAAAATATCCTAAAGAGAAGTGTCTTATGTGCGCCAGCATGGAAAAAAAAAGTCTCTTTCTGTTCCAGATCAATCACTGAGGTTACTAAAAGAAAAAAACAAAACAAAACAAAAAAAACCCCAACCTTGTCTCCTTGCCACACATACAAGTTCACACAGAGCCTGTTAAATTGGCACCGTTGGCAAGACAGCGGACTGCTTGCCATGTCGAGACTAGGGCTTCTTGATAGATTATTTCTCTTGGACTATTCACATCATCTGTGGTCTCTGCATTGTGTCTTGATGTGGAGAAGAATACCAGTGAGAATAACCAGGCATGTAGCTGTTGGGCGGCATACTGACTCCCTTGGCAGAAGCTGAAACGTCCCAGACTGGAGGGAGAGCTGGAGACCGCGGGGACAGGGCAGCGGAACCTGGCAGAGGGTCGCTCTCATGAGGATTGCTGCCCTGCTTTAGCAGCTTCTTAAATTTGGAGCGTTTGTTCTGAAACCAGATCTTCACCTGTAATCAAAAGGCGGAAGAGATTAGGCCGCTGAGGAGCACGTAGCTGACAGCAGGAAGCACCCGACTGGGGTTATTTTTGATATATAGAGGGTCCTGAGTTTCCAAATGGTAGGGAGGGAGATGTGGGGTCAAGTTGGCATTTTTAGGGGGTTAAACACGCTAGCATTGGAACTAATCTATTGTTAATAACAGAAATAGTGACGCTGGGAATCGAGATGTAGGTTTTAAAATTGAGTGTTATTTTCTTGCCCAGGCCACCAGTAATGCACAATAGAATTTATTATGTTTTAATTTCTCACTCTCTCACCTACCTATGTGTGTACATTTAAGTACTTACACGCACAGACATGTATATATTTATATATATATATATATACATGATCAAACGACCTCCAAAATACTGAATGAGGAATATGACACGTGTGTGTACATGTGTATATTTGTGTGTTTATATATATATAATTATTATATATATATATAAACACACA